TTCTTGCTGCTAGGTTATTACTTTCTTGCTGCTAGGTTAGTCGTTTTTTGTTGCTAGGTTATTTCTTTCTTCCCACTAGGTTAGTTGTCCGATGTTGCTAGGTTAGTTGTTTATTGTTGCTAGGTTAGTTGTCTAATGCTGCTAGGTTAGTTTTTTGTAGTTGCTACGTTAGTTGTATGTTGTTGCTAGCTTAGTTGTGTAATGTTGCTAGGTTAGTTTTTGTTATTGCTATGTTATTTGTCTGTTGTTGCTAGGTTAGATAAATACAGTTGCAAGGTTAGTTGTATGTACATGCTATGTTTTCTGAAATATACTATGCAATAACAACACATCAAATTTCTAGTTATTACAAGCAGAAATGTCACTGGTCTTATTACAAGTTCTACTATTATGATTTCCCACTTCTCCACATTTTCCAAAACGTCTTTTCAGCTTTTGAATTTCTTTGATAGATTTTTCTCGTTGTGACAACAATCGGCTTTTTGTGCTGCTTCTGCTCCCCTTATTTTTTGCTCGCTTTGGTGGCAGGATATCAACCTCAAGATTCGAAACGGATCCACAGAACTCTTGTGTCACGGCTCCTTTACTTAGTATTGAACTTGAAACTTGATGTGCACCCAACAAATGGTTCTTTTCATCATTTATAATCCTCGATAATCGTTCCAATTTATCATCATTACCTTCAGCAAGACTTATACAACAATAAAAATCAGACCATAGATTGTTTAGATATGCATTTCTCTGATTTTTGCCATCAAGTGGATTTAATCTTGCATTATCAATACCATGTCCAGAAGAAGCAACCTGAAGCCAACGGTTGAGGAGGTATTTCTCTGGTATTCTTTCTAAATCCTTGATTAGCATTATTGCGTGACGACATAACAATCCAAACTGTTGAAACTTTTTGCAGCTGCAATCTACCCAATCCCCGGACTTATTAACAATGAAGTCAACACCATCTCGACCAACTTCTACAACCTTATATCTGGTTGTTTCATGCTCCTTTTCAATATGCACAGGCACACATCTGAAACATGCTGCTTTAATCTCCATTTGCACCTCATGTTTTTCAATTTGTAACGGTGTCTTGCACTCAGGAGGTGCAGTCACACATTCATGATTCAGCTTCCTTATAACATGCCTTTGTGAATCCATTGCACTTTCAAAATGCATAAAGAACTCAACTAAGTTTGTTTGAGGAGATATGTAACTTCCGAACCAACTATTAACACTTTCAGACCTAGAAGTTGTTTTCAATAGCCCACCCATTTTGACATCCTTAAAGTATGCTGGTATCCACGATTTTCTAATCTGAAATAGATTGTTAAACCACTGATTCTCTATTAAGGCAAAATCATTCATCAATTTTCTCCACTTTTCTTCAAATTCATCAGGATTGATGTAAATATCCCACACAATTTCATTGAGCCTTTTGATGAAGTTATTATCCTTGGCTAATGTAGGACCCACCTTTACATTTACCTTTTCCATGATATGCCACATGCACAAACGATGTCTTGACTGTTTGAAAGTCTCCTGAATTGCATTCTTCATAGCAGGATCTTGGTCAGTAACAATGTAATATGGTTCATTTCCCATAGCTTTCAAAAAATTTTCCAATAACCAAATTTATGGTTCCACATCCTCTTTAACCATCAATCCAGCTCCAAATGTGACACACTTTTTATAGTTATCAATTCCTGTAAATGGTACAGACACCATTTTGTACCTGTTTAAAGATAGAAAGCAAATCAGAATAATAAAGGTTAGATATATCTATGGTTGCTAGGTTAGTTGTTTTTAGTTGCTAGGTTAGTTTTCTGTGGTTGCTAGGTTAGTATTCTTTTATTGCTAGGATAGTTGTCTGTTGTTGCTAGGATAGTTATATATCTCTGCCAGGTTAGTTTTATCATGTTGGAATGTTAGTTGTATGTTTGTTGTCAGGTTAGTTGTCTGTTGGTGCTAGGTTAGTTGTCTGTAGCCGCTAGGTTAGTTGTCTGCAGCTGATAGGTTAGTTTTATCATGTTGCAATGACAGTTGTATGTTGTTGCTAGGTTAGTTGTTTGATGATGCTAGGTTAGTTCTCTACTCTAGCTAGGTTAGTCATCATATGTTGCTAGGTTAGTTATATCTAGTTGTAAAGTCAATTTAATTCACATGCTACTAGAAAACATACATTACAAATAAATTAGAGTCAAGTCAAGGGAAATGATTGCGTACCTGTTAGTGTTGGAGGTTGCGTCAAATGAAACAACATCTCCAAACATGAGGTAATTTTTTCTTGAATCTGGTCAGCCCAAAAGATCCTGCTTAATTGATTATTTTCATCCACAGCATATTCAAATGCAATGTCCGGGTAAACTTCCTGTTTGTTGAGAAATTTCTGAATGATGAGTTGTGCATCTGCCCCCGACATGTAAGTCATAAGTTCTCTTTTGAAGTTTTTGAAATTAATTGCCAGAGCACCAACATTTTCATATCCTCCAACCATTTCCTTGTATAACCTGTGTGTTTTAGCAAGTCCAATGTTGGCTTTTACACAATTAAGGACAAACTTCTGATGGCCATAATTCAGTTGTCTATTTGCATTCAAATAATGTGCTTCCAATGTCAAACTGGGGGCAGTGTTTCTCTTCGAAATATGTAATTTTGTATCTTTTTCCATCATCGTATTCAAACACTGCTCGAGCCATGCAACCAATTCTTTTTGAAACACGTTCTCGTTGAACTCCTGCTGAATTTTGGGGTATGGATTGTAGTTTAAATCCTTCCTTGCTGCAAACTATGAATTGTTTTCTCACCATCCCACTTCTAAAATGTTTTTTCGTGCTAGTACGAACATCAAATCCACCATTTGCTCCATAGTTTCTGTAATATTGCATTCCAATTTCCAGATTCTCAAAGAGCATGCCAACTTTAGGTTATACATTTTCTTTGACAATTGGTATCCAGTACTTTGTTGAATTTGGTGATATCACCAATTGAAATTGACATTCCTCATGTGTAATACCTGTTGCAAAATATCATAAAAAAACATTATCCTTAATAATTGCAATTGCAAGGTTATTTGTATTGTGTTGCAATGTTAGTTGTATGTTTGCTGCTAGGTTAGTTATATCTATTTGCAAGTTTATTTGTCTCTTGTTGCTAAGTTAGTTGTATCTTGTTGCTAAGTTAGTTGTATCTTGTTGCTAGGTTAGTTGTATCTTGTTGCTAGGTTAGTTCTCTGATGCTGCTAGGTTAGATATATTTATTTGCTAGGATAGTTCCCTGATGGTGCTAGGTTAGTTGTTTGTAGTTGATAGATTAGTTGTATGTAGTTGTTAGGTTAGTTCTCTAATGCTGCTAGGTTAGTTGTATGTAGTTGCTAGGTTAGTTGTCCGATGCTCTAGTTTAGTTGTCTACGCCTGCTAGGTTAGTGCTCTAGTGCTGCTAGGTGTTAGTTATATAATGAATCAAATTTCCAGAATAACATGAACAATTTATTCAACATTATCAACAACTACTGCATCAACAACGAATAATTTCAACAACTGCATTAACATTATATAATATTCTTTCCAGAAAACAGAGATTCTACAAAAAACAAAATTGCAGATAAGCACGAACAATACGTGATTGATTCTAATTGAATAACTCGATTGTTATTCATGGTGAATATATCAGCACCTATTTATTTAAATTTTGATGAATCAATTTGGAATAAAATAAAGTCAGTATACCTTGTTCCATTAATGTCGCAACTGGAGTTGCTTCGATCTCCATTGAAGCTGCTTTCGTCGACATTTGTAGATAAATATGATGAAATGGACTTTTTTTCCCTGGATATTTTTTGACGAGCAGTTGAGTTTGCTTATCGAATCAATAGAAAACGAGAGTTAAACCTAATTAGACGATGAAATCGAACTCCAAATTAATAAGAAAATCGAGATTGAGAAAGAAATCGCAGAGAATCGTGATTGAGGAGGAAATCTGAGATATTATTTCCGATTTTGTGTGCGAGGGAGCTGAAGGTTTGTGATTTTCAGCTCGTGATTTTATAATTATATATATACCTGATGCTGACCGTAGATTCAAAAGGCAGATTCAACGGTTGAGATTGGGTCTCACGTCCACATTTTAAGAGGTGGACCCATTGGATCCGTCCCCTACATATATATATATATATATATATATATATATATATATATATATATATATATATAATTACTAGCTAATTCCATTTAAGAAAACATTTAATAAAAACATTTTCATATTCCCGCCCAAAAACGTTACAGGGCATATATATATATAGAATTTTTTTTTAATAAACACACACATTATATTGCATGGATTCTGCTGATTATTAAATATGATCAGGCAGTTACAATCACACCCAAATATGAATTTTTTTCCAATTAACAATTTAACTTTTTTCATATTTTTCCAATTAACAATTAAACTTTTATTAGGCAGAAACTTGATTATATAAAATATTTAGACAGTAAAATAATAATTAGTTATTTTCTTATTCTTTTTTATTTTGCTCCATGAATGAATAAATATTCAGTCATGCCAAAAAAATTGAATAAATACAATACATATACAAATAATTACATTTAATAAATTAATCGACCACCCTTAAGCTTTGAATTAGGCCTGCAAAAAATAATAAAAAATAATTACAAATAATGATCACCCTTAAGCTTTGGATTAGACCTGCAAAAATAATAAAAAAATAAAAACCAGTAAACAATTTCACTATCCCATGATTTAATAAGAATTTAAAATTAACATAATCTACTAAAATAATAGAGGAATGTTATTATTCCATGATTTTAGCACATGATTTATTCATATTTATTATTAATTATCAGTTACAAATTACCATATTAAATGTGTCAATGTGATTTTGACCATACTAAGACCATATATATATGTCCAACATTCATCCAGATAACCTCATTGCAATTAACCAGCAAACAAAAGCACCTTCCTCTTACATTTTTTCCTAATCATCAATGGCATCCATTTTCAAAAATTTCACCTTCTTGGCCAAAAACAAGAATAAGACAGCCAGGCTTAGATTGGTCAGAACCTACCCCCGATATTATCAGTCGAATACAACAAAAATCAGCGGACATGATTTCATTTTTCATGATGTGAAGGTATATAATATTTTTACTTCTCTTTTATTCACTTAAATTTTACAAACAACATTTCTACTGCTAGCTTTTGACAATTTTCATTAATTTTCTTTTAGGGCCAGCGTATACACGGTTGGGTACCCGGATGCTTATCCCAAAAGTACAAAGAATTTAAACTTCTCGAAGGCAATGTGTACGAGATCACAAATTTCGAATTTGTGGAGGACAAAAGTGCATTCAAGATAACCAAATCAAGTCACAAGTTCATTTTCTACAAACAAACTAACATGCGCGAGATAGTTGATGACGAGTATCCGAGGTTTATGTTTGAGTTCAAGCAATTTAGGGAGCTAACCGACCCCGAAACAATTTATCCTTGCACACCTTTTGGTATTTTTTATTTTTTATTTTTTAAATATTACAAATTCCGGTAATCTTATAGTATTTATTAAATTTTTTTTTAATTTGTAGACATGATTGACCGTATTGTTTTGTTTCAAAACATACATACAAGAAATTCAAAAAGGAATGATTTGTACATTATTAACCATCAAATATCAGTTACAAATTCCAAAAGTAATGAAAAAGAGGGGGATGCGGGAAAACATAAATAAAAGTCAATCAGATAGTGTGCTATATTACAAAAAATAGAGGAAATAGAGGAATGTTAGTATCCCTTGATTTTTGCACATATTATGATTTATAAATATTATATATTAAATGTGCCAATGTGATTTTGACCATACTAAGACCATATATATGTCCAACATTCATCCAGATAACCTCATTGCAATTAACCAGCAAACAAAAGCACCTTCCTCCTATATTTTTTCCTAGTCAGCAATGGCATCCATTTTAAAAAATTTGACCTTCTTGGCCAAAAACAAGAATAAGACAGCCATGCTTAGATTGGTCAGAACCTACCCGGATATTATCAATCGAATACAGCAATAATCAGCGGACATGATTTCATTTTTCATGATGTGAAGGTATATAATTTTTTTACTTCTCTTTTATTCACTTAAATTTTACAAACAACATTTCTACTGCTAGCTTTTGACAATCTTCATTAATTTCATTTTTAAGGGCCAGCGTATACACAGTTGGGTACCCGGATGCTTATCCCAAAAGTTCAAAGAATTTAAACTTCTCGAAGGCAATGTGTACGAGATCACAAATTTCGAATTTGTGGAGGACAAAAGTGCATTCAAGATAACCAAATCAAGTCACAAGTTCATTTTCTACAAACAAACTAACATGCGCGAGATAGTTGATGACGAGTATCCGAGGTTTATGTTTGAGTTCAAGCAATTCAGGGAGCTAACCGACCCCGAAACAATTGATCCTTGCACACCTTTTGGTATTTTTTATTTTTTATTTTTTAAATATTACAAATTCCGGTAATCTTATAGTATTTATTAAATTTTTTTTTAATTTGTAGACATGATTGACCGTATTGTTTTGTTTCAAAACATACATACAAGAAATTCAAAAAGGAATGATTTGTACATTATTAACCATCAAATATCAGTTACAAATTCCAAAAGTAATGAAAAAGAGGGGGATGCGGGAAAACATAAATAAAAGTCAATCAGATAGTGTGCTATATTACAAAAAATAGAGGAAATAGAGGAATGTTAGTATCCCTTGATTTTTGCACATATTATGATTTATAAATATTATATATTAAATGTGCCAATGTGATTTTGACCATACTAAGACCATATATATGTCCAACATTCATCCAGATAACCTCATTGCAATTAACCAGCAAACAAAAGCACCTTCCTCCTATATTTTTTCCTAGTCAGCAATGGCATCCATTTTAAAAAATTTGACCTTCTTGGCCAAAAACAAGAATAAGACAGCCATGCTTAGATTGGTCAGAACCTACCCGGATATTATCAATCGAATACAGCAATAATCAGCGGACATGATTTCATTTTTCATGATGTGAAGGTATATAATTTTTTTACTTCTCTTTTATTCACTTAAATTTTACAAACAACATTTCTACTGCTAGCTTTTGACAATCTTCATTAATTTCATTTTTAAGGGCCAGCGTATACACAGTTGGGTACCCGGATGCTTATCCCAAAAGTTCAAAGAATTTAAACTTCTCGAAGGCAATGTGTACGAGATCACAAATTTCGAATTTGTGGAGGACAAAAGTGCATTCAAGATAACCAAATCAAGTCACAAGTTCATTTTCTACAAACAAACTAACATGCGCGAGATAGTTGATGACGAGTATCCGAGGTTTATGTTTGAGTTCAAGCAATTCAGGGAGCTAACCGACCCCGAAACAATTGATCCTTGCACACCTTTTGGTATTTTTTATTTTTTATTTTTTAAATAATACAAATTCCGGTAATCTTATAGTATTTATTAATTTTTTTTTTAATTTGTAGACATGATTGACTGTATTGTTTTGTTTCAAAACATACATATAAGAAATTCAAAAAGGAATGATTTGTACATTATTAACCATCAAATATCAGTTACAAATTCCAAAAGGAATGAAAAAGAGGGGGATGCGGGAAAACATAAATAAAAGTCAATCAGATAGTGTGCTATATTACAATAAATAGAGGAAATAGAGGAGTGTTAGTATCCTTTGATTTTTGCACATATAATGATTTATAAATATTATATATTAAATGTTCCAATATGATTTTGACCATACTAAGACCATATATATGTCCAACATTTATGCAGATAACCTCATTGCAATTAACCAGCAAACAAAAGCACCTTACTCCTACATTTTTTTCTAATCAGCAATGGCATCCATTTTCAAAAATTTGACCTTCTTGGCCAAAAACAAGAATAAGATAGCCAGACTTAGATTGGTCAGAACCTATCCCCGATATTATCAGTCCAATACAGCAAAAATCAGCGGACATGATTTCATTTTTCATGATGTGAAGGTATATAATTTTTTCACTTCTCTTTTATTCACTTAATTTTTACAAACAACATTTCTACTACTAGCTTTTGACAATCTTCATTAATTTCTTTTTTTAGGGCTAGCGTATACACGGTTGGGTACCCGGATGCTTATCCCAAAAGTTCAAAGAATTTAAACTTCTCGAAGGCAATGTGTACGAGATCACAAATTTTGAATTTGTGCAGGACAAAAGTGCATTCAAGAAAACCAAATCAAGTCACAAGTTCATTTTCTACAAACAAACTAACATGCGCGAGATAGTTAAAGACGACTATCCGAGGTTGATGTTTGAGTTTAAGAAATTTAAGGAGCTAACCGACCCCGAAACAATTGATCCTTGCACACCTTTTGGTATTTTTTATTTTTTATTTTTTAAATAATACAAATTCCGGAAATCTTATAGTATTTATTAATTTTTTTTAAATTTGTATACATGATTGACCGTATTGTTTTGTTTCAAAACATACATATAAGAAATTCAAAAAGAAATGATTTGTACATTATTAACCATCAAATATAAGTTACAAATTCCAAAAGGAATGAAAAAGAGGGGGATGCGGAAAAACATAAATAAAAGTCAATCAGGTAGTGTGCTATATAACAAAAAATAGAGGAAATAGAGGAATGTAAGTATCCCTTGATTTTTGCACATATTATGTTTTATAAATATTATATATTAAATGTGCCAATGTGATTTTGACCATACTAAGACCATATATATATGTCCAACATTCATCCAGATAACCTCATTGCAATTAACAACCAAACAAGAGCACCTTCCTCCTACATTTTTTCCTAATCAGCAATGGCATCCATTTTCAAAAATTTGACCTTCTTCGCCAAAAACAAGAATAAGACAGCCAGATTAGATTGGTCAGAACCTACCCCCGATATTATCAGTCGAATACAACAAAAATCAGCAGACATGATTTCATTTTTCATGATGTGAAGGTATATAATTTTTTACTTCTCTTTTATTCACTTAATTTTACAAAAAACATTTCTACTGCTAGCTTTTGACAATCTTCATTAATTTCTTTTCTTAGGGCCAGCGTATACACGGTTGGGTACCCGGATGCTTATCTCAAAAGTTCAAAGAATTTAAACTTCTCGAAGGCAATGTGTACGAGATCACAAATTTCGAATTTGTGGAGGACAAAAGTGCATTCAAGATAACCAAATCAAGTCACGAGTTCATTTTCTACAAACAAACTAACATGCGCGAGATAGTTGATGACGAGTATCCGAGGTTGATGTTTGAGTTCAAGCAATTCAGGGAGCTAACCGACCCCGAAACAATTGATCCTTGCACACCTTTTGGTATTTTTTATTTTTTATTTTTTAAATAATACAAATTTCGGTAATCTTATAGTATTTATTAAATTTATTTTTTTAATTTGTAGACATGATTGACCGTATTGTTTTGTTTCAAAACATACATACAAGAAATTCAAAAATGAATGATTTGTACATTATTAACCATCAAATATCAGTTACAAATTCCAAAAGGAATGAAAAAGAGGGGGATGCGGGAAAACATAAATAAAAGTCATTCAGATAGTGTGCTATATTACAAAATATAGAGGAAATAGAGGAATGTTAGTATCCCTTAATTTTTGCACATATTATGATTTATAAATATTATATATTAAATGTGCCAATGTGATTTTGACCATACTAAGACCATATATATATGTCCAACATTCATCCAGATAACCTCATTGCAATTAACCAGCAAACAAAAGCACATTCCTCCTACATTTTTTTTCTAATCAGCAATGGCGTCCATTTTCAAAAATTTGACCTTCTTGGCCAAAAACAAGAATAAGACAGCAAGGCTTAGATTGGTCAGAACCTACCCCCGATATTACCAGTCGACTACAGCAAAAATCAGTGGACATGATTTCATTTTTTCATGATGTGAAGGTATATAATTTTTTTACTTCTCTTTTATTCACTTAATTTTTACAAACAACATTTCTACTGCTAGCTTTTGACAATCTTCATTAATTTCTTTTTTAGGGCCAGCGTATACACGGTTAGGTACCCGGATGCTTATCCCAAAAGTTCAAATAATTTAAACTTCTCGAAGGCAATGTGTACGAGATCACAAATTTCGAATTTGTGGAGGACAAAAGTGCATTTAAGATAACCAAATCAAGTCACAAGTTCATTTTCTACAAACAAACTAACATGTGCGAGATAGTTGATGACGAGTATCCGAGGTTGATGTTTGAGTTCAAGCAATTCATGGAGCTAACCGACCCCGAAACAATTGATCCTTGCACACCTTTTGGTATTTTTTATTTTTAATTTTTTAAATAATACAAATTCTGGTAATCTTATAGTATTTATTAAATTTTTTTTTTAATTTGTAGACATGATTGACTGTATTGTTTTGTTTCAAAACATACATACAAGAAATTTAAATGGAGGTCAAAAGAGATGTGTTGACATTGTTCTTGAAGATGTTGAGTAAGTTATATACACATACAACATTGGTTTTATTTTAATTTGATTATACATATCATTTATAAATTAATTGTTTATTTTATTGTACAATTTATAGGGGCTGCCACCAAACTTGCACCCTATGGGAAGGATATGCGGATATGCTTATAGCTGCCTACAAAAAGTCATCTCCAACTGAATTGAAAATACTCATAATACAACTTTGTCATGCAAAAGTCATTTGATGATGGTATATATTATTATTTGGCTTAATTTATATTATCATTTGCTCCTATTGTTATTTTAGATTTATCTTACAATTTTTAATATTGTCCCAAAACCTTTATTTTTGTAGGATCTGTTTTGGTTTCCGACATTTATGATGCTGCAAAATTTATAATCTCGAATGATGTTCCTGAGATTGTTGATTTCAAATAAAGGTATATATATCCTAAGTCTTCAATACCTATTTGTTATTATGTGATACTATATTTGATCAAATAAAAAAACTAATTATATACTTCCGATTAAATTAAATTTTGCTTTCACTATGTACAATTCCTACACAAGGCCAAGGGTATCTTTATTCCCTTATGTTAGGTCTTTCATGTCTAACGTATGTGACGACTTGCAATCTGGAATTGCTCCTATCATAAAGGTTGCGTACTTTTGCGCGTCTAAAGAGGTATCAATTTAACTTACTAAATTTTTGAATTATTACTCACTCATAATAATATCAGCAATTTATTAATTTTTTGTAATAATCTTTCAAACAAGTGTTGTCACGTATTGATTTGCTTTTAATTTCTCTGTTCAGGAAAAAAAGTTTTGGATTTGTGGCCACATTATTGATATTTGGAGAGATTGGTTTTTCAATTCTTGCCCAAATTGCGTTCGAAAAGTCGAGCGCAAAGAAGAGAGATTTTGGTGCAACTATTGCAAAGACTCCATTCCCTTTGCAATTCTTAGGTACAAGCTGCATATTTTGGTTGGGGACAACACCGGAATGGTTCTCCTTTTGTGTTGGGACAAAGTTGCTCGAGAGTTAGTTGGAAAACCATGTGATGCTGTTGTTAGTGAAATGATGGAGGCATGTGTATTTTATATTGACTATTGCCCAAATGTTTTTCTTACATTATCAAAATTATAATTTAATTGAAAATTTATCATGCAGGACAATGATGGATCAGATCTACCACTTGACCTTGAACTTTTGACACACGAAGTGCTATTGTTCACGGTTTCAAAGAAAAAGGATCAATTTGGATCATACATTGGTCTTTTTACTGTTTCTCGAATAACAGCCGATCATATTTTGGTCAGCCAATTTGGTTCTTTGGCCAACATCTCCCCAGGCTGGCCTGATTTTATTTAGAAAAAAAATAAGTCCTACAAAGTATAATATAACTATTATTTTTATATTATATAATAATTAATATATTGTTGTGATTCTCTTTCTCAATAGGATTCTGACCAACCATCCACATTGATGAAAGAATATTATGAAGCTGGTCAAGTAAATATTATATTTTTTTTTTTCAGCAGCAAAATATATTATTTTTATAAAAAAATTATATGTTTTTTAATGTAGGAATCAAAGGATGAGGACACTGTACCAGGCTGCGAAATAACAGGAAAGAGGGTTCAAAAAAAATTATTTGAAGATGGCTCGAGCTGTTCAGGGGTGGAGCCAAAGGACAAGAAAATCAAAGTTGAGAAAATATGAGGGGCTGGATGAAGATTATATTCACTTGCAAGTTGTTTCTGGGATATTAGTTTCAATGTTTCCATTTTATGCTGTCAGATTTATGTTGTTTCAATAATATTATTAGTAATCTACTTGGAAAATATTTTTTGTTCTATGAATAAAAATGCTTTTATTAAAATGTGTTTAATTATTTTCTCTTTTTATTACTTCTATCTTTTGCTTTAAAAATATAGCCCACATGACAACTTATCAACTTTAAAACCACAAAAATTATAAATCATCAATGTCCTAATCCACCATGCAAATTTGCAGCAATCATCAAAGAAACTTAATACAGCTATTAATAATCAATGTGTTAATCCACCATGAATCAGAATAAACTTGTTTACTTCTATAATTACCGTTTTGTAATAAAGAAATCCTTTATATCAACATTTTGATTAAATTAAATTAACTTTAAAAATACTGATTCTTTACAAGGCAAAGAAACACTATATAAACCCCAACCCATCATTCATTTTTCACTCATTATGCTTTTGAAATAGTGCCAAAAGGACCTTTCTTATATATTCTGTACCCAAATAAAGTTTCTACACAGCATTTCAGACATTTATATTAAACAATAGATTTCATCAACTAAAAAATCAAATGTTATAAACAACCATTTTAGACAATAGTTTATATTCAGCAACTTAATTAAATACTTAAAAAATTAATATTTTTAGAAATAAACTTTTCAGCCAATAGTTTATATTCGGCATTTTATTTACAGTTTTGTAACAGCACATGTGCATTCATTCCTTTCATTAAAATTGAATAAAAAAGTCAACAAACTTTTCCAATCAAACTCAATATACCAATCAGTTAATTTATTACAATAAATTATGTTACCAACTGCATATCAGCCTTGCCATAATCAAGATTTGAACTTTATACTAGCATTAAATATATTGACATATATAGTCTGTGAATACTTCTATATAAACATGCAAACCTATGTCATTTCAATTTTGTATAGACATCACAAAGCAAACACATTCACAGTTTCTTACAAACATAAAAAAAAAATAAAAAAAAAATCTTATTTTCAATTCTATCCTATCAAAATGAGGAGGTTGACAGGCTCACAAACAATTGGCACGAAAAGACAGAGGCCCGAAACCATGGAACATACACAGAAGTGTACTACACAAGATACATGCTCAAAGTTCGGAAAACTAATAGAAAATCAAACCATTGGCAGCAAAACACAGATGCATTCAATCATTCAACAGACACACAAGAGTACTACACAGGGTACATGCTAAAAATACAATCATTTTTCATGACTTGACAAAGTTTAGATGATTGTGTACCTGTGTAGTGCTTTGTTTGAGTTGTGATCCTCCCCATCAGCTTCATTCATCTTTTGTTTTCTTTTTGTTTCCTAATCATATAACAAATTTTAATTGTTAGGTAGATCACAATAATGCAAATCAATACAAAATTTGAGTAACAGATAGAAGAAGCCACTTATCTGTGTATTTTCTTGCCTCTGTTGGCCTCCTATGCTTGCTCCTGTATAGAAAATAATGTGTAAATCATTTTCACTTCAAACCATAATGCTTATACAGATACAAGCTGATTTTTTTTACCTTTTTGTTGGGATATCATTAGCCTTCGGTCTTTTTTCGGCAATCTGAGAAAAGAGAATAAACATTTACAACTTGAAATAACAGTTTGTAATATATTAGAATATTGTGATATACATACCTGCTCACGGTCATCAAAGGTTGTACTCGGTGCTCCTCGGTATTTGAACAGTTTAATAGTTCGGCCTTATGTAAAAACAAGAAAAAAAATTGAAATCTTAGCATAGTTCGGCCTTATTTATACAGTCAAAAAATCATTGCATATCTTCAGGCTTAGCATAAGAGTTCATCTAAGCATATCTTTAGGCTATCTAAGCATATCTACAGCTTATGTAAAAAGAAAAGAACGAAACAAGACTTCAAAAAATACATATCTGATTAGATTTGTTTGTAAATACATAATTTTAAGAAAAAACTTAATTATTTACAAAATGTACAAATCGTACTAGATCTATTACAGATCTGTATAGATCTATTATGTAATCAGGATTTTAATAAAAAAACGTTTACAAACAACAAAAAAATTACAAAAAATTTGTAGATCTGCAAATATCTATCATGTAATTGCCAATTTCTACCGAGATACATGAATTAGTAAACCGGTGTTTTAAAATCGGGACGATTTCACTTTGTCGTCTCCCTTTTGATTCGAAAAAAATAAATCTCATGTATTTTTTCAGTATCGGCTTGAAAAAAGAATTGACTCGCCGGTGAAACACCGTTTTTGGCGAAATTATCGGCGAAAAATGGTCGAACAATTTCAGTAGAGAGATAAATGAGAGAGAGAATCAGCGACAGAAAATTGAGAGGCGCGAGAAAAGTGGCGAAAACGGTGCTCCTTTAGGGTTTGCAGTATATAAATGCTATAGCCAGGTGTAAAGACACGCGTCTCCATACTTAGTTAGATGTTAAAAACATGTCGCCAATTCGCCATTTTAAATTAGCATTAAACATATAGATATAGATATCACCGGTTATTTGGGCTCATAACTGGGCTGGACATATTTATTTTTTAAAGCCCAATACATAGGTTAGTTAATACCAAGTATACTTAATATGATAATAATGGCCCAATTTTTTCCAACAATTTATATTGGGCTCATACTTATAATATTGATTTTATTATTATAAACTTTAATGTTTTTATGTTTGCTCTCTTTATTTTTGTCACAAATGTTTGAAAACAGGTTATAACGTTATCATATAGCTAGATGTTTCATATGAGGTTTTCAAAAATAATTTGTTGTGGATATTAAACTATATCAATTTAATTATTGTAGGTACGTCATCGGATATGTCTACATTAACTCCTTCGTACCAAAGACCGGCAGTCCCTAATAATCCGTGGTCTATCTTTCAAGAACTTGGTATGTATTTTTTGGTTTGTAGGATTATTTATATCATTTATAAATATGTATGCCATTGTAATAAAAATTGTTATTGTTATTTTCGTTTGTTTAGTATATTGACCATTAATTAATTTTTCATGTTAGGTTTTCAATTCGCAAATTCTCAATGTTCGTCTCAGAATAGTTCCATAACTCAACTCACGAATACATCTTGGAGCGATTTAGTACCTTTCGTTGATCTTACAACGGACGTCGAACAAAATGCTACCCCTACAACATTGGGTAACCATGTCGCCAATGATAATTCTAAATTAATTTCCAATATATTGAACTTATATATTATTAATAAAAGAAAACAATTTTTATTGGATCACGTATATTTAAGTGATACTTTTTTTTGTTCATTTTTAATAATAATCCATTTGTGTGCAGATTTATCATTAAACTTACCACCTCGGAAGAACGTACGCGGACATCCGAGGCGCACATTACCTCTCCCCACAAATGGTAATTATAGTTTTATTATCAATTTGTCTAATTTAATTATTTTTAACAAGAAAAAAAAATCACTTGAAAATATGTATATGGTATTTTTTAAATAATAATACAATGTTTTATATTGTTTCATCATTAAACTTGCCATCTCCGAAGAATGTAGGCGGCCGTCCGAGGGACGTATTTCCTCAAATGCCCATTAATACCAGAGGTTCATCGTCATTGGCCAGTTCCTCGCACTCATCCATCAGCACTGGTAATTATTTTACTTATGTATTTAATTTTTTTTTTTCATATTTTATCTTTCAAATCCTTTTACCTTTGTTTAGAGCATGGTATATAAAATGATTAATAAGTTGTTATTATATTTAAATATTACAATTCCGCATAATATTGGGATATTGGCGATGCATCATTCCGTTGCCTTCACTGTGGTGCAAAATTTTGGTATTCCGAGTGACTGGGCAAGCCATCTAAACGTAAGGTCCCTAAGTATTCTGGGTGCTGCAACCATGGATTCATCAAAACTTCCACCCTTTTACACTCCGCCCCCCTTTCTGCGTGATCTTATTTTTGAGACGGGTCCTCAAAGCAAGCACTTTCAAGAAAATATTCGGTCATACAACAACATGTCTGCATTACATCCATGGGGGGAAAAATTGATACCGACATAAACAAGAGAACCGGCCCACCCGTCTTCCGTTTGCACGGTCAGAACTACCATTTAATGGGTAGTTTGCTATCCGACCATGGGGCCCCTCTGAAATTTGCTCAATTGTACATCTATGACACAGAGAACGAAGTATCAAACCGATTGTCTTCTGTGAGGTATATATATTATATTTTTAGCATTCAAAATTGAGCACTTAGTTTTTCTTCATTGCGTTTTACATTATCTTTACTAATTCAATGTAATTTTTTCTTTATGTCAGGAGAGGTTCTGAAAGAAATAACCTAGATGAGGATGTAGTTCGTGGTTTAAAGGAGCTACTCGATCATTACAATGTTTTGGTCAAGTCGTTCAGGATGGCGCGGGAGACGGTGAACCAGCACCAGCAAATTGAAGTTAAGATGCGTCTTATCGGTAGAAGGAACAAGGATGGTCGGCGTTATAATTTACCCTCAACTTCTGAAGTTGCCGCATTAGTTGTTGGGGATTTCGATGATGCTATGTGCAGCAGCGATATTATAGTAGAAAATTGGAGCGGACGTCTGCAGCGGATCAACGAGTTGAACGCTTCCTACTTGGCTCTCCATTATCATGTTCTTTTTCCACATGGAAAGGATGGTTATAGGGAGGACATTCCGTTCTCCTGCCTAAAACCGATCACGGAGAGCTCGAGGAAATTTATCAGCCCGTTGGAGTTCTTCAAATATCGAATGCACGATCGGGATGGCGAATTGTCGTCAATTCTATCCACTCGAAGGTTGTATCAGCAGTTTGTTGTGGACGCTTATACAATGGTAGAGGGAGCTATGCTCAGTTACATCTGTTTTAATCAGAAGAGCTTGAGAACCGAATTGTACAGCAGGCTATCTGACACTGTGTTACGCGATGACACGGATCCTGGTTCTAAAGGCAAACGGATTATAATTCCGTCATCCTTTACAGGTGGCCCGAGATATATGATTCAGAACTATCAGAATGCGATGGCCATTTATCGTTGGACCGGTTATCCTGACATTTTCATAATCTTCACTTGCAATCCGAAGTGGCCCGAAATCAGTCGTTTTCTTGCTGAGAGGAACCTCAACCCAGAGGATCGTCATGATATAATTTGTCGGGTTTTTAAGACCAAGTTGGATGCATTGATAAGGGATGTTCGACATAACAAGATGTTTTGAGATGTGAATGCAGGTATTTTTTTCAAACTATTTGTTAATTGATTTATTTATATTTTTTATTATGTGTTTTGCATTGTATTATTTTTTACCTAAGTATGATTTTAGTGCAGCAATCTACACGATTGAATTCCAGCTTGCCAAGGAATACAAGATACAGACTACTGATGGCATAGATAAAATAATTTCTGCCGAAATACCGGATGAGGCCACAGATCCATTTTACTATGCCGCTGTTAGAGATCATATGATGCACGGCCCTTGCGGAAGTGTTCACCCGAAATCTCCATGTATGGCGAACGATTGTTGCACAAAACATTTTCCTACAAAGTTCTCCGAAACCACGACTCTTGACGAAGAAGGCTATCCACGATACAGACGTCGTGATAATGGCAGGACTATAAATGGCATTCCCCTAGATAACAGATTCGTTGTGCCTCATAACAGAAAAGTGCTCATGAAGTACGACGTGCACATAAATATGGAGTGGTGCAACCAGTCGAGGTCAATCAAATATTTGTTCAAGTACGTGAACAAGGGGAATGATCGTGTTACTGCCACCTTTCATGCGTCCAATGGAGATGAGTCCTCTAGCAGGCCAGTTGACGAGGTGAAGATGTACTATGATTGTCGATACGTTTCATCTTGTGAGGCTGCGTGGCGGTTGTTGGAGTATGAGATTCAATACAAGCACCCATCAGTGGAGCACTTGAATTGCCACCTCCAGAACGAGCATCTGTGCTACTATGACGATAAAGTTTCGATCGATGAAGTGGTTAACAAAAATAAAAATGCCGACAGCAAATTTTTAGCTTGGATGGAAGCTAACAAGAAGTATCCCAAAGCCAGAAAACTGACGTACGTTGAGGCTCCCACCAAATTTACGTGGCACTCGGAAACCAACAGTTGGGAGCCTAGGAAAAGAAGTGACTGTATCGCGCGTTTGTACTTTGTCCCTCTGGTGCTGGTGACATATATTACTTGCGGTGTCTTATCAACGTTGTTCAAGGTTCAACGTGTCATTGTGACTATATGAAGTTGGACGGAGTACAACACGATTTGTATCGTGGCGCGTGTTTTTCCCTCGGTCTGGTGGAGGACGACAAAGAGTACATTGAAGGGATTATCAAGGCAAGCCAGTGGTCGTGTGCCAATTCGTTGAGAAACCTTTTTGCTACTTTGTTGTTTTCTGATACTCTCGGTCGACCGGAGTTCGTGTGGGAATTATGTTGGCCTTACCTATCGGATGATATATTATATAATCGTCGGAGGGTTTTACAGCACCCAGGTAAACGAATCAATTACGGTCACATACTTATGTTTTTTTCTTTTTCTCTTATGTCTTTATATTTATAAACTTTCTATATTGTTGTTACAGAATTGGTTTTGAGCGATGATGAAGTAAAAAATCTGGCATTGGCGGAGGTTGATAAAATTTTGTGCAGACGTGGTACGAGTCTACGCGAATACGGTACAATGCCTTTTCCTAATCTCGATCGTAATGAGGCATCCACGAACAGACTGGTGATGGACGAGTTAAATTACGATCGTCGTGCAGTCGCTATTGAGAATGAGGAGTTGGTTGCCAAAATGATTGATGAGCAGCGCAATGTTTATGGCTCGATAATGGACTTTGTTTACCGTACCTACGACCGCAGGTTTTTCGTTTATGGTTACAGCGGCATCGGAAAAACGTATGTGTGGAGGGCATTGTCTTCTGCTTTGAGATCCAAAGGTGAAATTGTGTTGAACGTTGCATCGAGCAGTATTGCATCACTTTTGCTTCCCGGCGGACGCACTGCGCATTCACGATTCAGAATCCCACTAAACCCAATGGAAGGCTCTACATGCGATATTAGCCAGCGGAGTCCTTTAGCCGAACTGATCATACGATGGCGGTTGATTATTTGGGATGAAGCCCCAATGATGAACAAATATTGCTTCCAGGCGGTTGACAACACCTTGTGAGCCTTAATGGAAGCAGTTGATCCATCGAGGAAAAATCTCCCATTTGGCGGCAAGTGTGTTGTGTTAGATGGGGATTTCAGACAGATACTCCCCGTTGTCCTTAAAGGCAGTCGAAGAGACATAGTTAATGCGACCATCAATTCATCCAAGTTGTGGCGCGATTATATCGTTTTAAAACTTACTCGGGATATGAGGCTTCGAAGCCTTGGTGGGGGCGATGAATATGATGAGTTGAGGAACTTCTCTGAGTGGCTTGCAAACATCTGCGACGGTGCAGTCGGTGGATCGAACGACGGTTGTGCCGATATCGACATCCCCGACGATTTTCTTCTACACTCAGAAGGGGATCCTATTGGTATTATTGTTGAGAGTACCTACCCCATGTTCAGGAGTGCAGGTGACGATCTTAGCTATCTGAAGGACAGAGCCATACTCGCTCGTACACTTGATGTGGTTAACGAGTACATGAGCTCACTGAACTCATCCAAGGGAAGGACTTACTTGAGTTTAGACAGCTCGTGCAAGTCAGATGCTAGATATGATTCTCTTCAGGATCTTCACACGCCTGAGTTTCTCAATGGGATCAAGTGCTCTGTCCTTCCGAATCATAAACTGCACCTTAAGGTCGGCACTTCAGTGATGCTTCTTAGAAACATTGATCACTCCATGGGGTTGTGCAACAGTACTGTTTATCAACATTCAATTTGTCATCTACATTTCCTTTTATCTTTGCACAAATTTGTGTGATATGATTTTGTTTTCCGAGTTTTGATGTCAACAGGTACACGGTTGGTTATCACTAAGCTCAGCAGCCATGTCCTCGAATGCAGGGTTAACCGGTGCCAGAGCTGGTGACAAGGTTCTTATTCCTAGGCTCACAATCATACCATCTGATTTGAGGGTACCATTCAAATTTCAGCGCAGACAATTTCCCCTCATGGTTGCATATGCTATGACTATCAACTAGAGTCAAGACCAGTCACTGTCCACGTCGGATTACTATTGAAGAACCCTGTATTCAGTCATGGATAGTTGTTTGTGGCACTATCTAGAGTCACGAATCGGAGGGGTCTGAAGATAATGATTTGTGGTGATGGAGATTTTGACGATAGAAAAAAACCACAAATGTTGTATATAAAGAAGTGTTTAATAATATTTAAATTTAGATTTTATTACTTAACTTTTTCCTCAACGATCATGTTATGATTTTTACAATTGTTTTCTTTTTTATTTTTTATTTTTTCTTCTATTGTATAGTTTTCGTACAAATGCACGGGTCAAAAACTAGTTAACAATAAATCACACATCCAACATCTCTTATAACTGATAAATTCTTTTATTTTACAACAATAAAACACACACTGCACATATTTTGGATTTGGACTTTGGAGTTGATTTATTTATTAATGGGCACACCGGGAAAAAGAACGCATAGAAATATTATAATTATCTCAATAATTGGAAAATAAGTTGCAAAAATGCTGACGTGGCCCACCAAACCCACTAAAACACTTTATTTTTCTCTAAACAACCTCCACCGTCCGATACTCATATTCGGCGGCGTAGTCACCAACATAGAACAAGGACTAAACGACGGAATTTTTAATCCACGCATAACACTCTTATTGGTCCTTCTCCCATTTCAATTATTTAATTCCAAAATCATTTTCCTCCTTCCCCGATTCAGTAAAAATCTCAACAGGAAAACCAGCGATCATATCCTCCGTCGATATCAACTCTCGTCTCAACGTCTGTAAACTCAGTTCTTTGGGGTGTCTTTCTCATACTTTTTCTTTCTTTTTCCTTTTTTACAATTAACGCCAGCGTTGAGGCGTCGAGCCCCCAGGAGTTGCCCTTTTGTCTCCGGCGAGGGTTCTTTTTTGTGGATTGAGGTCCGAAGAGATGGTTAATTCTATGGTGGAAAGGGCGACGAGCGATATGCTAATCGGTCCAGATTGGGCTTTGAACATCGAGATCTGTGATGTATGCAATCGCGATCCTGCGTAAGTTTTTCCCCTCATGTTATTTTTCTTCTCAAAGTTTTGTTTCGAGGTTTTTGCTTGTCGCAACAGTGAGAGGAAAGATATGAACTTCTTGTAGTATAGGTTTGGATTTTCAGTTGCTTTTTCTTTTTGTTTCTTCATTTTCTTTTGGCTAGTAAGTAATACCATGGTGTGCATTTGTTGTTTTGCAATTGCTTCTCTTATTCTTCATAATTGGGCAAGAAATAGGATTTTCTGGAATTAATCGATCAACCACTTAGCTGAGAATATCATGT